ACATTCCCAGAAGCCTGGGTGTTCAAGTGTGTGTGTGTGTGTGCGTGTGCAGGCGCGAGGACATGTGCGCACAAGTACGCTCGTGCACGTACTCACTCACACGCACACACAGAGTGGCACTGACTGATTTGTACATAAATATAGATACACAAAGACATGTAGGCCCGCACCCAAACACACCTGCAAAGCCTCGTGTTGCAATGCGTGCATGTGACATTCTCTGACCTTAGGCACAGCCTGCTAGATGCGCTAGCTGCAAAGGTATAATCGCAAACACACCGGCGCACGGGGGCAGCCGGTAAAATATTGCACAAGGCCGGCTGCGCGGGCACGCGGCATACATAAGCAAAATGTCTTCTGGTCATATACTGATGCTTGGAGTTATTTGCACCAGGCCAAGTCATGCATCTGTGCCCCCGAGCTGTTCGCAGCTTGTCTGTGCTCACCGTCCGTCTACAGTGTGATCCAACAATCATGGCGGGAGTGACTCTCGTCGCCCATGGACGAGCGCGCACACACACACATAAGTCGCAACGCAACACAACACTTCTTAAGATCAGATCTCTTGGTTTCGTTGCTCTTCCAGCTAAATGCGCTTTCCCGGATTCCCGCTTACCATGAGCCAATGCCGTCTTCGAGTCTTCGACATTGCTGAGACTTTGTTGCATGTTTTCGAGCCAGCCTGCGCAGGAATCTTCAACTTGGGATCCGTGGCCGACAGAGTGTAGACGAACTCGCTACGCTGCTCCACGTCATGGTATGGCAACGACTGGATCGAAAGCCGCGCCCAAGAATGGTCACACATGGCGGAAGTGAATATACGAGGATGCGCTCCCTCGCTCGCTCGCTCGGTCTCTCTCTCTCTCTCTCCCTCTCTCTCTCTCTCTCTCTCTCCTGGGCATGGGGGACTGTCAAATCCCCCGGGCATCATGCCCACCCAACTTTGTTAGTTCTCTCTCTCTCTCTCTCTCTCTCTCTCTCCCTCCCTCCAAATACATGCACTCCACACGCGCGCAAGCACACGCACACATACACCCGGACACACCCGTCACACAATTCAAATGCTCGGCCCTCTCAAGCCCTTGTGCTGAAGCCTCATGTACTCTTCCTCGCCGTAGCCGATCTGAACGGGATTCCGTGTCAGCTCTGGCTGCTTGAGGTTTATAGGGTTCATGTAAATACACTTTAGAAGTTAGGCCGAGCTAAGGGCTCGGAGGTGGAGGCTTTGGCGTCAATTTGCTAGCCGCCCTATAGCTGACTGCAGGAGGGACAAGGCTTAGTTTAAAGTCTTATAGATTGGGGTGTAGCGTCGCTAAAGCAAGTAGTTGTGTTTTGCAGTTTCGGGCTTCGAGTTTGTCTTTGTGGGCCCGAGGGCTTCTGAAATCCGGCGCCCTTGCGAAAAACTTCGCGCCCAAAACACCTTGAAACTGTAGACCCAGCAACCATAAAACCGCAAGATTGTTGCGGCACACTACGCATTATCGACTATACATCACATTCTCGCCAAAGTCCCACAGCGTCCACCGAGTTCATTCTGAACTCCGATCAATGCTGCGGCTGTCTGCATTATTGATGAATTGCGCTCCCGCCGCAGTGCCGCGCGTATTTTGGGACGTTTGGGTGGAAGTCGTGCTCCCCAGTCCCGTTCCTGGCCGGGCTAACCTGTTCGGCTCCTTCGGGCTCGTGGCATCTCGAAATCCGCCAGTCTAAGGAATGTTGGAATTCCCGCCACACTGCGGTGCGTGTCTTGGGTACTCTGGCTCCAGCTGGTCTGTGGCATAGAAAAGCGAAATTTCCCTTTCAATAGGGCGTATAAGTGCTTGCTCATGAGCTTGTAACTGGATACAGGGGCTTTCCACAGAAACGAGTGTACTGGGTAATCTTTTTTGTGACCTAGAGTGCCAAGAATCCCTAGAGGCCCTACAGGCCTGGAGGTAAGTGCGGCCCAAGCACCCGCTGAGCGTCATCCATATTGCCTACGTGCTGCATTTTCCGAATGCGGTCGGCCACGAACTTCGCGAACTCCAAGTACTCCTCCAGATCCAGCTCCCCGGAGCCTCAGAGGAACACAGCAGTGCGTGGCAAACGGGCGGAGCAGCTAAGGGGATTGAGAAAAGCTGTTATGTAGTCAGTCCTGGGATGTCCGCGAATGGGTGGGTTTCTCTTCTTACTCTGGCAGTGGAAGAAATCGGAAGTCACCTCCAGTTCAAAATGCAACGAGTCTGCGGCAAGTCCAAGTTGTTCCCATGCGGAAAGTCACGTAGCCGCCTGCACTCTATAGGTGGGACCGCCTCACGATCGCGGGATTCTTCAGCTCCAGCAAGCCAAAGCAAACGGACCCCGCACATCAAGTCCCTACATCTCCCCACTGCCAACTGCCAACCCGCCGTGGCCTTGGGAGAGGCGCGGAGGGGGAGAGATAATCAAACCAACGCAACAAGCACGCTTTTGCCTTCAATCTGTCTTTCATGAGGGGACGTTTCCGATCAGGGTGACAACTGCTTAAGATTTAGTTTGTCTATGAAGGAGTCCTCAGTCAAGACGACCATCTCCAGGTTAATGTCTGCGGGACACGTTCAAACATCATGTTTAATTTCCAGAGGATTCGCAAGGAACTCGAACCGTTTATCCAGACTCCTGTGCTGTCTTGCTGCTTCTGCGGGGCACTCGCTACAGCCTTAAGGTCGAGGGGTCATCTGGTGTACTTCGAGCATATCTACTGGGTGTATCTACAGATTTCGACACTCGACTCCAGGAGCTCAGAAGCCACATCAACCTTGCAGCAAAGCAGCCGTCTTCGTCGAACTCTTCCACGAGTCGCGGGATGAGATCTTGCCTTATTGTCGACTAAGGTAGATGGACAATGGACTGGCGATGACTAGCGGAAAAAGATTTTAAAGCCAAGCTCCCTCACTGCTTGACGGAAGCAAAAACTGGACAAGTTTACAGGTTTGAGGATCATTGTTCAAGGGCACGATTGCTACCCCTCCAGCTTTTCTTCAGGATGGATCTGGGGGGACGGATCTGGGGCCTGGGGCACTTCCACTTTTGCACAACTTGAAGCAGAAACCTTAATTTCTTACTTCTTGCCCAGCTTGAAGCTTGCCCAGGCCGGATCGGCGAAAACAGCCAATGTCTGTAAGACACAACATTCGGGGATGGGCTTTGGGCAGGAGGAGTTGGGTAATTGTCGCCGGTCAAAGCTATCTATCCTCCCCAACTCTACGAACACTTCGCGCCAACAACCGGCATAGACCTACCAAGAACCCCCAGAACGGACTCCCCGAGAAACACCCAGAGCTTCTCGGCAGGCAGGCCACATCTGCTTGGTCGTTGGCTCGATGCCGCAAGCTGCTAGGCAGTCCATGCATTCCTGGCAAGGGCAGGGCTGAGAGCCTAGCGGCCTAGCGGGCCAACGCCTACAGTAGCGCCTTTTAGGTTCGAGGCGTCTGCGCTTCAAAGGCTAAAATTTCGATCTTGCAGTGCCTGCCGCGCCTGCACTTTTGGATCAAAAGGGGTCATGCTGCAAGAGTCCTCCACGCTGAGGCCGTTGGTCTCATCGGCATCGGTAGCGGCAAAAACGTCCCCGATCAACTCGACTTCAATTTGGCGGATCTGTGTCATGATACGCAATACCTGCCACGAGAGAAAGGCAAGTCATGAGACCAAGCCACCCAACACAACACCGACAAATCTCACGCCCAAAATTCTTGAACCACCTGTCGGAAGTCGAAGTGGGCCCGCTCCACCGCGCTGGGGTCGTGAAGGTCGAAACCTAAAGCTCACCCGTTACAAGGATTCACAAGCTTGGGCACTTCCAGAGAATGATCTATTTTGTGCCGTGGTCGGGTGGTGATGCAGGTATGTTCTTCGCATCAACACGAGCTGATCACCCCGGAACACCGGGCGTTTATTTAGCTGGCATGGCTGTCTCGAAAACCGGACGTTCTGTGCATCCGTCCCGTCGGGTTGAACAAATAATATTGGAGCCGGTGCTCCTGGATGCTGAGGAGGACTGCTGAAACAGGCTTCGAACTGCGAAGCCTTTCAAAAACACCTGCATTCGGACGCTACCCCCGTTTCGCCAGCAGTCCGTGAAAGAGCGACAGAACCTTAGAACCTTGCATGTCTGTTGCTGACCGAACTGTCGTGTCGGCTGGCAAAGTGCCATGCTCACCTGTAAGTAAGAAGACAAACTACAAAATGCACCCAAACCGGCTGGGCTCTCCTGGGGCTCCTAGATATCCGAGAAGTGGTCCCCCACTTTTTCGGGACCGCTTAAGAGCCCAGTAGCACCAGAAGGCCCTTGTATAGACGTCTCCGCCACCTCCAAGATCACTTTGCAGTCCTCGCGGTCCTCGCAGTGTCTTGTCAGGAGAAGGCGAGGGCCGCGACCATGCACCTCGGTGAAGCACCTGCGCACGTCCTCCATCGCATATCCAATGACAATCTGGCGCTTGCGCTTTGGAACAACGGCGGACCGACCGGCCGGAGCCCTTCTAAAGCTGGACCTCGACGCACTCCTCGGACTTTTCCCGAAACCTGCGCGTGCAAAAGGTTGCACTGGAGGCGTCGACGGGCTTCCGTGGAAGCACTTTACGAAGACGGTGCAATTAAAGCCGTAGAGTGACGAACCTTCGGGGTTGCGCAGATGTGTTTCCACGGATGGCCATCGACGCTTCAGTGCAGCGGTCGCGACAATGGGCTTCGGTTTAGTCAAAACCAGCTCTTGATGCTGAAGGCGTGGCATGCTTCCGTCGGTCATGGCTTGAATTGCATCGTCTTCGTATCCTTCAAGAGTGGTAGTGCTAGCACAATCCTTCAAGGGTTCCTCCAAGCAGGGCAGAAGGCCCCATGATCCGGATTATGCCAGTCCGCCTGCAGAATAAGCCCAGCCAGAACCAGCAAGGCACGACACAGCCAACAGCAGGCCATGATACCCGAGCGTCATTGTGGCAGTTGCGCAGCCGTGACCCCAAAGATGCTTTTGAGCCGAAAACCCTTTAACCATCGGGTAGCGCACCTCTGCCTCAGCGCAACTTAAGATGGACGGTGTGCCAGGTATGAACTAAGCCGTGGCACCTTCTTCCATCATCTGAGGACCTTAGACACAATGAAGGCATTAAGTCTGCCGTGAAGTGGCACAGAAGAAATTCACAAATTCTTACCTTGGGAAGAGACGAAAGGCCCGAAAGGCAATGTCGATTCCGGGAGTATTTCTCAAACCGACGTCTAACAACCAAGTCCCAAAGTCTGAAGCCAAGACTCAGGACGTGTACAAACCGAAGGCTTCTGATCCAGGCGTGCGTTAGTCGTCCTACACAAGTTGCTACTGACAACCCAACACGGCGCATGACGAATGACTTTATCCCAGACCTAGCCTACTACAGGCACCCGCCATGACCCAGCTGACCAATAGCACATCTGAAATCTGAAGCTTGTGACAGCTCGAGTGGCTTACTTCGCCTGATGCGATGTTGCGAAGCTTTTCCCTGAAGCCTGGGGCGCGATGCTGCACGAGGCCACAGTCCTGAGTTCTTCCGATCGGGTACAGAGCTTCGCTTGCTGAATGTATGGCCTTTCGAAGCACTACAGACAGCTGTGGCTCCCATAGTGCATGGACCGCCGAAACTGTTCATGAACAGGTACCAGGACCATAATGGAAACTGACGAATTGCTCGCAAAGCGCCACTTAGATTATGATGACACTGGACCCGGAGCCGTGTGTTCCGGGGTTTCGCTTCAGCGTGAGGGCATGCAGTCTTAGCGATCCGCGAGTCTCGTATGGTTTGGGGCGGGGGCGCCTGAAAGCATAAATACATGAACCCATGACTAGGGCCTGGGACCGTTTATGCAGGCAAATTGCAACCAGGCAATGGACGAAGCAATCATCTGTTCGGAAGTGGGCTTGAGGACCCGCTACTGCTAATGAAGCTGTTGAGCTGATTCAACTTTTCACCCTACCGCCTGAGCCCTCAATAAACTGGTCCCTTGCATCACGGACGCAACCTCCCCATGCTCCAAGGCGCAGCTACTTGTGATCGGCTCTCTGCATCCTAAGGGGGGTTAATGCCTAAAAAGGGCCTGGTAACAAAAGGGACTCCTGATGTAGGCTAGAAATTCGCGGCGTCTTGAAGTCCCTGCAGCGCACACACGACTGGTGGCCTGCCTTCTACGCAACCGGAGCCGGAAGTGCTTCAGGGCACGTCGGGGTTCCAACTTCCAACCCACATAGTGCGAAACTCCCACAGCTTCAGGAGCCAACCCTAAGACGCGAGACAAGTGGCGAAGGCCAGGTGGTGCAAGGACGTGTAAGGCAGCAGGTCCTGTCGGAAATCCAAAATTGGGCTTAAGGTCTGCGGTCCGGTCGGCACGACTGGGGGACTCGGCGAAGAATCCGGGCGCCAGGAAGGAGAGAGGAAAGAGGCAAAACGTGAGCCCCGTGCAACTGCTAAACCCCCAATTCGCCAGCCCCAAACAGGCTCTGTGAAGAGCTGCACAACTACTGCACCAACTGAGGGCAATAACCTGCGAAAGCAGGTTATGGCAGCCTGATGAGCCCTAAATCCTGCTATCAAAAAGTCCGCTTCAGGGACAAGGGTGCTCTCCTGCTTTGCTCGGCGTAGGAAGACGTCGTGCAAGTCGACCAGGCTCGACTCGGCGGGGATCCATGTTTCGACTCTGGGTCTGTACGTGCGTGTGTGTGTGTGTGCCCGTTTGCAGATAAGCACACCTATTTGTGAATACATATTATTTATAATTATATATATATATATGTACAGAAAGCGTCACTGTATGTGCATATATATATATATATGTATCTATTTATTTATGAAGTATATTTAGACGTATGTATACATATTTAAGTGTATATGTGCGCACATGCGCACACACACACACACACACACACACCCACACACACACACACACACAGGCACGCGCACGCACGCATCTATGTGTGAACCATTGCGTCTATCCGCCGATCAGACAATCAATCTATCTATCTCTATGTCTCTATCGGTCTCTGTAGCTTGCTACCTGTCTGACCATCTACTTGTCTGCCCTCATACCTACCTACCTACCTGCCTGCCTGCCTGCCTGCCTGCCTGCCTGCCTGCCTGCCTGCCTGCCTGCCTGCCTACCTACCCAGCCATCTATCCTTTTGCACTATTCCAATCCAATCCAGCCTAGCCTTGTCTAGTCCAATCAAGCAAAGTAATCTAACTAAAATCTCTATCTAGTTTAATCTAGAAATCTTTTCCATCTGACTATCTGTCTATCCATCTATCCATCTATCTCTCTCTCTCGCTCTGTCTGCCTGTCTGTCTCTTGTTGCCGATCTCAGACTGCATCCGTAGACTGCTTCTATAAGGACGAATAAGGGCGATACATGCACGTCTGTATTCATGTACCAGCACATGGAATCATACGCAAAGATAAAGACGAACAGAAGAATAACTCTCAGGACGATGGGATCAACAGATGCAGGGCTGTACGATGACGGAGGAACGAGCAAGACAATAATGATGATCTCATAATGGCGCGGTGAGAGAGAGGGAACAAACAAGAGACAGAGAGGGAGATAGACCAACACAAAGAAGCATCAGTCAAGATAGTTGGACAAGAAACGAGGGAGGGAGTGCGGCAGACACGCGGGAGGACAGTCAAAGACACGACAAGAGCAAAAGGGAGAGGGAAAGACGGAGAGAGGTCGAGAGTGAACATGTGGTACAACAGGACATGAGCATGAGGGAGCGAGAGGGAGGGAAGAAAATGAAGTGCATAAGAGGGGAGAGGGATGGACATTTTTTCGGCAGGTCTCCGTGGATGCAACTGCATTGAGAAGAAAACCTTGCTGCCCGTCGCAAGTCAAACCGAAACCCTTAGCCTTAGCCTTAGCTGAAACTCACTCATAAGGACGAGGACGAGGATAATGGTTCCGACGCACTGCTGCTAGCGCTCGTGGCAGTATATGACCACACTCTCTTGAATCTTGTTGACGTCATCCTGCGAGCAGAGTGGCCCCCCAAAGCTTCTGTGTCTCCTCATCAAGGTCCATGTTCTCCTTGGCGAGGTTTGAGGTGTGCAGTACAGGTTTCCGCTCTGCGAGGCAATCCGGTGAGCTCATGCTCTTGTGAAGGTATTTAGTATTGTGCTTTGACAGCACCTTGGATCTCACTAGCAGCCGAAGTGATTCAGACTCTGCCATAAGGTCAAGCCGCTAGAACACGTCTCCGTCGCTCTAGTCATGTACAAATCACTGCAAATTAAAGTCAATCTCGAAAAATCCTGGTCTGCGGACCATGGACCTGTGCACCGAAACAATGCCGTTGCGTCCCTCTGCTACACACAAATAGAGTTCGCTAAACCCAAGCCTTAGAGCTTTAGCCAAAGTCATAACCCCGACGCTCTTCCCTGCAGGAGCCCATTTCGGGAACCATGATCGATGCCCTTTAGAAACTGGCATTCATTTTTCTACACGCTGAACAACTTAATTGATTCTAAGCGGAAATATACACTGCAGCTTGGCAGGCCGTCGTTGGTCCGCAGCACTTGGGGGAACGAGTTGCTGTGTAAGCTCGTAATGACGACATTCCGCAACAACCCAGAGGAATCCTAAAGAACCAACAAGAGCACCAGGACCTGCTTCCTGGAATAGTGCCCCTCAAACTGCACACTGTTCCTAAGTCCTGCGATTTCATCCAGGGGTCCGAAATTTCGACCCGCCGCTGGACATTTTCGCATTCTGCACGCTCCTGCCGTGGCCGGTGAAGCTCTAAACGGCAGTCCATGGTGTCTCCTGATGGCTCGGTGGCGGTGTATCCATGGCAACACCCAAGTCCGAAACCCAGCTGTCACTTCCTCGTCATTCGTCTAGGCCGAGCAGGTAACAGGCTTTCACTTTTGTAATTCTGTCCTTCGTTTTGTTCGAGAGTTCCGGACTTAACTTCCTCAACCCAATAAAAGTGCAGAGGGCTGAACATCGTTCAAACGAACAGTTGCGCCCGACACATGAGGATTCACCTGCGCGAGCCCCTCTTGCAGTGCCCTCACATCCAAACTGTTATTACAGGTGCCCTTCGCCTCGAGGAGAGGAGCAAGGATGTGGAATTGCGCCGGCTTGATGAGATCCTGCCAACTATATCCAATTGTCTTGAATATGGCAGGACGCGCAACCTCTGACGATGAACGAAGACCATCAACCGAGGCAATCCTAACTCTCTTGATGCCGGACATGAGGATGTTTGATGGTGCATTTCTGTCGCTGATGCTTTTTGGATGGGCGTTGTGAATCATATGGCTCTTCACGAAACACCCGCACCGGACCGCATCTGTCGGACTCCACGGGGTCCACATGGAACTGTCACAGGTGGGACAACTAATACCAGCACTATCCAACCGGATCTTCAAGCAAGCGGCTTTCTCCAGGAGAGCCTGCGGCGAGGTTGCCTGGCTCATCTCGGCTATCTCCGGGATCACCTGCCACACTGGTGGCTGGAGCTAAACGCCCGCACATCCTACTGTCTCATTACCAGGCATTCTGGGACCTCGATAAGAGACTCTGAAGACTCCCCTGGAACACACCCCGGAGCTTGCCATGTAGGTGGGCTTTCTTTACGGCTCCATGGTCCGCATACTGCAATTTGGTGGATTCCCTTTAACCCCCGAAACCAGGCGACCTGGTGGATTCCATCCCTCAAGGAACACACCAAACTGGGTGTCTAGCATTACACCATTACTCACGGGCAATACAGTGCTAACATTCATGAGACTTTTTGTGTTTCCGCCGATGCTGTTACAAGTATGGTGACAACGAGGGCTACTAATGCCCTTCTAGCCTTTCTGGGTACTATGACTATGGCTGCCGAGCGATGCAGCCATCACCGGAGTTACCACCTGAAGGATGATCCTTCGCTTCTGATGCCTCTGAGGTTCTGAATGCCTCTTACTACTTGCCCTGCTCTTGCCGTGCTGATGCCTCAAGAACTGCCTGGACCACGATGTGCAGCCGAGGGAAAAAGCCCGACCAGCGCAGAATCCTCGGAGGATTCGATTCTCAGCTTCCGCGTGCAAAAGGTGTTAAAAAGGACGGGGGTGTAGACTGTGGTGTAGGGTAGACTGCTGCTCCTGTACTGCCCAGCTCCCGCCTTGCATTGTGTTGCTCCCCGGAGAATGCTGCAAGAAAATACAGCCACACCCTGCGAGCCCCTAGCGATTTATATGACAAGGCCACGAGGGCACCCACATTTTCACTTTCTCGCTCGTGCTACTTCCCACATACTCGGTAAGCCGCCCCAGATAACAACGCATATGCATGCTTCATGTCTCTACCTATGTTTGCTAGCGTGGTAGATCAATTTGTGAGGCTTTGGCCCAGTATAGCACATGTGTTCTGCAGCCCTTCGAGCGGTCTCAGCGGCCATCCTGCCAGAAATCCGAAGCTCTCAACACCTCAGCCTCTTGGATGGACCCCGAACCCTAATCTCAATTTCCAGAGCTTGTCCAAACAAGGTCGATCCATAGCCTGGTTGTTGAGGTACACCCCGGAGTAGCCAAACGTCTCTTACATCGGAATCTGCGCATGCATGCATCCACAACATGGCATACACGCGTAAAGCACTCCATAGCTCTTTCTTTCGCCAGGGCTAGGGGTAAGGAGGGCAAGCCCCCCTCACCATAGCTCTCTCTCTCTCTCTCTGTCTTTCTTTCGCCAGGGCTAGGGACGAGGGGAAAGACCCCCGTGTCTGTCTCTCTCTCTCTCTCTCTCTGTATAAGTACCACCGATCATCACAGATCTACTCGAACCAACACGATACTTTTCTAATGCCTTTCAGGCCGTCTCCTGTGTTTGCAGGTGAAAGGGCTACTGCCACAACAGCTTCAACAGCCTGGGGGCTCTCGCACTGTGGAAACGAGGCACGGTTTCACCCCGCGATGGTGCAAAGGAGTCGGTAACATAAGTAGAGCAACAGAAAGGGGGGGGGAAAACAGCTCCGCATCTGAAAACCCTGCAAAAGCACATGAGACCAAACGGCTCTAATCCCACCCAGAAACTACATGCCCCAGCCCAGGCCCGGCAAAAAACGGCCACGTTTCAGCAAATATTCAGAGCCCTAAGGCAACTATCTGGCAAACACAATCTACCCGAGACTGGCCAGATGTTCCTCGTGCCTCCAAAACCCATACTCCGCAAAAACCTACAGATTCCTGTTTAAGTCTACTTCTTCACGACTTCTGTTCATCCTAAAGTTGAGGGCTTGAGGGTTTGCGTATGCCTTCAGGAGTGACGTTGCGGGTCCTACATAAAACCGGATTCAGCCAGGGGTGCTGAAGCATTTCGATCAAGGAGAGCACGCCGCTCTTGTCTATGTCTGCTTCATGGAATCTCTTCACCTCAGGGCTTCGGGCTCGGTCTCTCCAAGTCGTATTTAGGTTAAACCTGTTTGTGTCAGTAATCATGCAAAGCCTTGGCAATTTCTTCGTGGTCTGTTCCTAGCACTAATTTCCCCCTCTCCTTTTCTCGTCTAGCTTCATGCCCACTTTCGTTATCTGAACATACTGCACCACTGTTTGCAACTGTCCGACACTATCTGCGACTGAAAGCCAGCGCTAGTCGCCAACCACTCACGATCCCTACGCACTGATCGGGAACAGGGGGCTTCCAGAGTCAGCATATGCATGGGTTCTAGCGATGGAACCAGGACTGGAGCAAGATTTAGGAGTACTGACTGGAGATTTGGACTATTTGTTTTTTCGACAGATTGTAGGGTGGAGATTCGCGAGTCCAGGATTCGGATCAGGTTGAGTGGCAAACTACAACTCGGACCAAGTCTTCGTTCGTTTAACGCTTACGTCCTTTTACCCCCTCACACATGGGCAAGCCAGATGAGGTTCTCGGTTCGGAGCAGTCTGCATGAAACTACTTTCAGGGCGCACCTTCCTTCCCGATATGGTTGGCTGCCTCGCCGGTAAGCAACGTGCCATGTCACATCCAGACCCACGGCCTAGACAGAGTCATTGTATCAGGAAGGTGAGAGAAAGAGACATTGCTCTAACTCGTCGGTGTTGGTCGGTTCCGTAAGGACCAGCCGCTACTCGTCAGTCCTGAGGTCTTGCAGCAACCGAGCAACAGATTGATACCGATACTTCAACTGTCCTCAGTTCGGCACCACCTCAGGTGACAGCACTGCACAACTACTGCACAGCACCCTCCCCTGCTGAGCTGCACAAGGTCAGCAAGTATGTACTGGAACGCTCATCCACCTTCTGGACTTTGCATGATTCACTGTTCTTCAACTCAACATACAGCCTTAGTTTCAGGCTAAAGGACTTCTCATGCAAACGCGACGGTAGTTGTCATGAATTCGTCGGATTTCTTCGGCTCCGGCCTCTAGGGCCCAGGGCCTCTAGCCCTGATGGCCAAGGCTCCAAGGGTCTGCAATCTCATCCTAAACATAAGGTGACACGCACGCCGTGTGCAATCCATACTCCTGCTTCGTGTAGATGGCGAACCATCCAGGGTCGTTCCAGGCGGCTGTGGCGAAGCCAGCCTCTCGGAAGTGGCCAGTCACGAACCTGTAGTATTCGCGGACCAGGTCGTTGTCCCTCTCCGACTGACGCTCCGGCTGCCGGCCCACGCCATACTCTCCGACGTAAATGGGAATACCCGTGTCGAAGACATAATCACGAAAGTCTCTGAAGATATTGAGCAAGCCTTTTTTCATGGCGCCGATCGATCCGTAGTAGTGAGGATTGCCGTTTTCGCTGCAGAAGTCGTAGGGATCATATGTGTGCACGGTGATGCCCACACAGGCATCGTTGCCACCTCCGGGAAGAGACCACCTATCGGGGTAAACTGCCCTGGCAGTGGCTATGCTCGACATGGCATTCGGATGCACGAAAATCATTCGGTCTTCGTGACCTGGCACGCGGCGCACAGCGTCAACTCCCATGCCGTTTATTTCGCGGGTGCGGTCGATCGCGTATCCTTCCGATGGATGTATAGGCTCGTTCCAGCCTCCAAAATTCATGTGAGGCTCATTCAGGATCTCAAAGACAAGTTTGTTGGACCTGTGCGCAAAATGACCTGCGATACCAGTCCACATGTTCCACGATTTGTCTTTGGGGTCCTGCCTGGCAGCATCATAATGCTCCACAAGCCATTTCTCGTGATGGGAGTTAACGACCACATAAAGGCCCAGCCCCAAGGCGTAGTCCACAACTTCGGTGACCCTCTTCGTGTGTTCGGAGTTGGCATCGAAATGGCCGTCCCATTTCACGGCAGGCGGATATGCTTGAATCCTGTGTCGTGGGCCCACTTGACCTGCTCTTTGACGACTTCCGGATTCGTATCGCCCTGGTCGAACTCGTAAACGTTTTCCAATGTTGATCCCACGACCCATTCCTTCGATGACCCCGTCACAGTTGCCCCGTCTGGTACGATTCTGAACGGAGACATCCCGCTGGACTGAAACCATCTTCGAGTGTCCGATGCTTGCAGCTTGCTTCTCCGTGGCCGAACTTCCACCTCCTCCCGAAGCATCTTTGTGAACCTGTGTTTGAACCAGCATCTCCACATCAGAGTCGGCCGCACAGTCGTCTCCACGGCATGGGGTCACTGCAAGCACCAGGGGGAGTGCAGCAGCGAGGATCTGCAAGAAGCACCGCATGCTCAGGCACGGCATCGCAGCCTGCAGCAACTGCAGCACGAGCTCGGTGGCACTGGAACAGGCAAGCTGCGGCAGTATCATGACAAAGTGTTTACCCTCTCACAAAATATTAAGGTTCATCCTTTTCATTGAATGTTCCCTTTTATCTAATTACTTGGTTTGGACGGTCTATCTCAGGCATTGTGTTTTAGCCTCGGGATCCCAGAGTCTGCTAGCAGCAGCTTACAGTCGTAAGGACCCAAAGCTTCCAGATTTCGGCACCTCAATATTGAGAAGAGCCGCCCCAAGCCTTTCAACATTGAGCCCTGAACCCAACACCAGTCACAATAAAAGGGGCCTGCTTTTTCATGAGCCCCTAAACCTACCCGCTGTCACCAGGGCATGCACCAAGTCCTGTGAGCGAATCTCAGCGAAGCCCAGGCGTATAGCAGGGATGATCTCCTGCTCTGGTCAGAGCCCTTTGTGAAAGGTTATGGTCTGACCCGGTTTATGGGGCTCATGTTGCAGAGCGCGGGGTTTTGGCAAGATTCGGGCGGAACGATATAAAGCACTACTATAGGAAGTTGAGATCTTACTCCCCAGTTCGGCTGCAGTGCTCTGTCAGGAAACGCTTCCGGAACCCTTTAGACGCAAACCTTCAGGACTGTGAAGTCCAACAACTCGAAGTGAAACAAAGACAATGGCCGGTGCTCGGGGCAAGACGGTAATTATGTGCTTCTTGAACAGGGTCCAAGGCCAATGATTGCAAAAAGTTTTCAGAGCCGAGGAGTCGCGCGGCGCCCTGCTGGAAGGGACGTTTGCAAGTTGGCGCTGTGCGGCGGTTTGATGTCGAGTGCCGCCGATGCAGGTGATCCGCGCTGGGCATCTAGCTGTCGCTCGTTTCCCCGCTGCCCGGGTGCTTCGAGGCAGGTTTTGGTCTGACCTCCGAGCAAAAGGAGGTGGGCTGCAGAAAGCCGGAAACTGCTGCGAGCTTTAGGAGGCGACGGTCCGAGCATGAGTCCCGAAGGTCCGGCCGACGTCGCGAAGCTTTGCCAAAGCCTCCGCGAAAACTAAGACCCGAGACCTGCAAAACAAGCAAACAGGTTGGAGGTTCTCTCCCGGCATGAGGAAAACAAAAAGAGATCCACGCAAAAGCCTGCGACATGCGGCTGTTGGGCCGCAGCAGGCACGGACACCAATGGCGATATCTGTGAGCCGCAACCCTGTTAGCCCAGGGCAACTCTAACCCAAAAGCCGATCAAAGATCGTGGCCTCTTCACTTACAAAACCTTGTCATGGACATCTGAAGGGCAATAGTCCGAAGAATCGACGATTTGAACAGCCGGTGAACCTCCAGTACGCTGCAAGCTTCTCTCCTCCCTTTCGCAAAACGTTGACCAATGAGGCTCGCTTATCCCTCGCGGCGTTCTGAACTGACCCCTTACCAATGCCCCTTGGAACTTCGGATCACCCCTTACAAGTACTACAATTATGGCAACATAGGGCGACACTTGCTGCGACCGCAAAAGCATTTCTTCGTGTTGCTCTCTGCTGCTCAACTCTCTCTGCTCGTTTTCACTCTCACGAATGCCAGGTCGGGATCTGCTTCTGACCGTGGCTTTCTGGACTGATGTTGCTCGCAGTCCAATCGCGCCCCACCGAGCAACGGAATTGCCCAGCAACTGGCGATCGTACACAGCCAAGCCCGTGGCGGAAGCTAGTCTTACCGACTCCTTAGGTTTTGCCGCTTGAGCCCCTGAACCCGGACTTGAACGGCTCTGGTCTCCCCGAAAAGGACGTCGAAGCCAATATCGAGGCTGTCCAGGTTGCGCAGCCTTGGACAGGTGAAGGCCGTTCCTCTTCAACATTAGCGGCACTCTTGTCCTGAATATTTGGACGAAATGACCACATAAAAGGAACCGATCACGTCACGTCCAGCGCACACCCGGAATGAGAATCTCGCGCATTTTGTAGAGGAGGCAAGGTAGGTGATGATGCATCTCTTCGATCACGCATGCCATCTTCAAGCTTGATTTCGACAGCAAAAGTCGAGCCCCAAGGACTTTTGCGAAACTGAGCCGAAACAGAACCGCGACCCGCTCAGAGGAGCCAAACTCAAGGCTCTACACCACCGCACCTAGACACAAAGAAGCAACAAACCAAAAAGGCTGATTCGGCGTAGTATTGGGGGGGCCCGAGACTTAAAGGCCTCTAGGCTGGCGAGGCCGAGCGACAGGTTCTGCATCACCTCCCTCTCCGGCTTGTTGCGAGGCTTGAAGCCCACCGACCTTAAGAGATATAAGTAGAAGATCACAGGGGCCCGAATATTTAATAGCAAGGGTGACCATCGTTCTCGTGCGCGATATAGCTCCCCGGTTTCATTGTGTGTGCCGAACCCGCACCAACCTGAACTCTTGAAGATCACCAGCCTTGACCTTGCAAGAGTCTTTGTTCAAGAAAGCAGCTCACTGGAATGAAGGGGGCATCAGATTTGAGGTGTGGAGCGAATCATTACACGGCCCTCCCAGAACCCCCAAAGCGTGGAACTCGAGATAGCTATCGGCTTAGTAGACTCCGACAGACACTAAATCCTCTAAACCCGAAACCCTCGTGCCCTTTTTTGCGACTGGGCTTGGGGACTAGCCAGATTCTTGCATCACGGCCTCGTGCCCTGAACCTTACACTGCACGACTGCCAGCAGGGCATTTGAGTTTCGGACCGGCACTCCTCTTGCTGTGTAGGAGCTTTTAGCTATGCTGCTCTAGTCAAGTGCTTCGGGTATGGCGAGCGATGCCACACAACCGGCCAAGTACTTGAGGCATGTTTAATGAAATACAAGGGCTGATCATCTAATCTCTCTGACATGAGACAGCGGGAACCCACATGCTGGATATGAATTCGCCATTTGCCGCCAGAAGCGAAGCTTTGACTCAGGTACATACGACGATCTATGCGCCAGAATCCCTGCCGAGAAGCTCCAGGAACTCGCGCAAGTCTGACTGGTCAATGGTGTCTGTATCCGTAAAACGCCGGAGCACATCGCGATAGGTCTTCTCCTGGGCTCTTGGGGCTTTCTGGTAATTTACATACGGCTAAACTACCTAGGGTGTTATTGGCTGCAAAGGGTTCTGTATGGTGTTATAGGGTTTACTTGAGTGATTATCAGGGTAGGGAAAGTACCGGTACAGGACGGCATAGCAGGTCTTCGAAGTCCCTGTATGCTGTAACTACGCTAGTAGCACGCTATGATTTTGGGGAGGAGGCTTGCTCCGACCACTGCACTCCCCAGGCGGAGTGCGTACAGAGCGGACCCGTAAACACGGGGGCCTCACTTATAGACTTATTACTGGCAGCATCGGATCTGGTCTGGCACCGGGGCGGGTCAGGGTGCGCAAGCGGATACGATACGACACAGTCGCAGTCTTTGGTGAAACAAATCTGCGCAAAAGAGCAATTTGCAGAGAAGAACTGATGTCAATGTGGGATGAGCACAACAGACGTCTCCTGCCAACTTTTCCGTTTCAAAGAGAGGCGCTCCAAGATTTCCAACAGCTTTATCCTTACTCCCAAACCCGACCCCTGACAAATTGAATCCAGACTCTCAAAAACCGAAACAGCAATCCCCGTCCCTTAAACCCAGCTTATAGATGCGAACGATGCAACCCTGACCCCCTGAAACCAAGGAAGGAATCCTGAGCCGGAGACCTAAACCCTAAAGAAACAATCAAGTCAAGGCCGAGGTCATCGAAAGCAGACACCTGCGACAAGTAGGCCTTGCTGGAGTTTGGCATGCCCTCGATCGGAACCCCGGCTATGCCTCAGGGCTGCTTAGGTTGTTTCCATGGCCCAAGGTGGTGATTCAGAGAATATTGTTTAGGCTTGATTTAACCACCCTTTCTCTGCTACTGGTTATTGGAGGGTCAAGCTTCATGCAGATCATCAGGGTTAAGGCTTAAGTATGTAGATGTACACACACAAATAGACATATATATATATATATATATATATATATATATATGCATGTGTAATTATATAAAATATGTGCTTACATTGACATTATGCAGCAGATTATCAGAAAAAAGGAAAGCAGAGCATCGTATAGTGAAGGCATGATATGTCATGGACCAGTTGCTGGCGTCGAAAACCTTGAAACGCAGCAGTAGTAGGTGGAAAGGATCCTGGTTATTCTTTTGAATCCCGCTAGGTTCAAGCATAAGCGCCGTCTTCCTGAAAAGCGCCAGTACTTTGGGAAAGCATCCTGGCCGTAATCCTGGAGCCGCCAGTGCTGGAACTGATCCTGCGCGCTTTCCCGAATCCTGCTGAATGAACAGTACTTGTAATAAGGCATTTTGCCCGCGAAAGTCCTGGTGATCTCCAGGTAGGCTCCTGCTTGTAGCTGGGAGGTCTCTTGGTGGTCTTCCGGCGGTTTCTTGGTGGTCTCCGTGTAGTCTCCTCTTGTCCTCATCGTGGTCGTCCTGGTCGTCTTGGTCGTCGGGTTCGCCGGTTGTCGTGGTGGTCGCAGTCGTCAGGGTCGTCAGGGTCGTCACGGCTGTCGCAGGATTACAACATGTTATTTCATAGGGTATTGTATTTTTAATTACCCTGTACTATGTCATAATCAGGTCGCTCGACCATGTTACTCCGTATTAGGTTGGAGTGTACTATGTTTTGGTATATTTCAGTGTCATATGAAAGTAAGATTGCATGTTGTATATAGCATGACTCGCGTTTTACAATACTGTTTCCACGCGCACACACACACACACATACTCATACACACTCGCACAAAGCAGGCATGGCTTCAATCCATCCGAGCTTTCTACCTTAACATAAGGGGCCGAGCAACGATGCAGTGAGGCGAAGTACATCACATGAAACGGTATCACATTGCATTGCATTACATGATATTGTTGTACTGGAACATGTTCTCTTGCAGTATACTCTGAACTCTTGCATGACGCCATAATCTGTCACGCTATACTCTGTTAGTCTGTGCTATTTTTCTATGGTCCGCATGATGTTAAGTGGTAATCTTTTCGCAGCGTAATTACATAGATTTTTTACCCAGGTTGACTCGTATATCCTGCAGTATGTGTTCGGAT